GAGACTTTCTATTTCACTATTTCTTATCCGAAAAATACTTTCGTTGATCTTGATATTCTTTCCATTTGCCATGATAACACAGCAAGACGTTTATTTCCATACATTCCTTCGTATCACTGTCAATTTCAAGTACCAAAGTCCAATAGGCTGCCACATTATGAACCATGCCACCTTGTTTAGAGGTCCCTACTGAGGCACTGCCTTTTGCAAAAGCTTGCATTCTGCAAAGTTTCTTACTTTCTACAAACACACATCACGTCAAGACTTTCTATTTCACTATTCCTTATCCGAAAAAGTGTGTACGCTCCAGTACCGCCCTCCGCTGGTCCTCCACTAATGGAGCTTGCAATCCCATTGTCTTCACGTTGCCAGTGTGCACGTTCAGTTTTTATACGCTTTGTTTATATGCAAAAACACATACTGTGACGGCCCCGGTGTGTGTGTGTATGTATGTATGTATGTGTGCGTGTATGTATGTATGTATGTATGTATGTATGTATGTATGTATGTATGCATGTATGTATTAAGTATATGTATATGTTTCAACTTGGCACCCAAGCAAGCTCCGGCGCCAAAATTTTGCGAGTGAGTTTCCCGGTCAAGTGCCACCCCAGGACCGCGGTACCAATCATCAAGCACGTCTAGGCCCCGCATACGAGCGCTTCAAAGTTTTGGCGGAAAAATCGCTAACTTGGGAACCAGAAAAGCTAGAAAGCTGAAATTTTGAGATTATGTTCTCCGTCCATATAGAACTCAAAGGTTTTAAATCCAGCCCCCCGTCATGCGTGGTTATCATATACGAACCCGTGAAAGTTTTTGATGGGAAAATGGATAACTCCGGAACCGAACCAGGGACGCTGGGAGGCTGAAACTTTCCGAAAATGTTCCTAACACATCTACAAATTAAATTTATCAAATTCAGCCCCCGTTATGCGTGGTTGCCATGTATGGCCCCGTGGAATTTTCTGGCTGAAATTTGGGTAACTCGGGAACTGAGAAAGCTGGGAACCTGGAATTTCAATAGAATTTTCCCCGTTCAAGTATAGCGTGGATAATTAACTTCCCGAAATTCGAAGACCAGTATGCACAAGAGCTCTCTAGCCAGCAGAATTTCAAGTGATCTTATTACAGCACGAAACACTGCAAAAACGCATGGTCGCACGGACCCGCCTAGTGCGCGTCGCCAATGATTCTCCATCAGCCTGCCTGATACATTGTAACAGGTAACTTAGACATTATCCGCAACTGCCAGCTGAGGTGTATAATGAAGAAAAGGACCAAACTCAGACCGACACTGATCGAAACTACGGACGGACTGATATGTCTAACTCCTTAGATACTTTCATCTCCGTAATGGCAAGGCGTGCCGGTACATCAGTTCCTGAATATGAAAACTTCAAACACGGGATAATAACCGTGGCACGGTGTCGAACTGCTTGCCATCGCTGTTCTTCCCCATAAGTCAATATTAGTTTTGATAAAGCCTTGCTGTGTAAGAAGTGGTACA